GGGGGGATATTTTGTTTGTTCTTTTGTTTTTTTGTTGTTTTGATGGGGTTTGGGTTTGTTTTGTTTTTTGTTCGTTTTACTGCTGCTGTTTTTTTCTGGCACGTTGTGAACCTTTCATCCCGGGTTGGCCCCGATTGGCAATGACGTCAGTGCATCTTGTAAAAGATTGAAGTGAGTCGAAAGGGGGCGTATTGATATCTACATTACATCTACAAAATCACGTATTTGATACTGTATCACATTGCCTCCCATAATAGATGATTAAGTTGAGTCGAAAACGGGGGGGGGGGGGGGGGGGGGGGTCAAGTTTTTCTTATGACTTTAGGCGAGCACCGTAATCTCCAGACCACGAGAGCCTCGTACATCAGTGGACATTATTTTAGAGCTGTGCGCCGGTTCCGTTTGGTTCTTAATTGGACCTGAACATTTCGTTGAAAGGTTTTGAAACTTAGATAAGTTGACTGTGTCGAAAGGCATGTCCACTTTGTATCTACCACACTGGTGTTGGTGGTGTAGCTGTGAGGCGCTTCACCGTCGCACGCAGAAGACCTGAGTTCGATTCCTGTATGGGCATAATTCTTATTGCGTATCTCGGCAGTCTTTCTGCTGGGCGTTGTATCCCTCTCCGCCTATATAGGCCATGGCAGGCAGGGTCGAAGCCTGTTCCTCTAAATTTTCTAAATTGTGTCGATAGCGGCGCAAAACACCTATTTTGATAATAATATACACCATAATTGCACTTACTTTGTCCAAGTTGAGAGATTGAAAAAAATCGCTAGGTACTGAGAAACCGAACTAAGGCACAGTCGTAGACTTGAGTTGTTATACCTTAGGACGAGTACTGTCATGGCCACTGCTCTTATCTCTGTGCTTATTTGTTTTAGTAAGGTTTTTTTCTGTTTACGGTGCTCGCAGCTGCATACGGTCATGATCAGAGCGCCAAGGGGTGGATGTCAACAGAGAAGTCCAAACGGAGAATAAGGCTTCCTCTGCTTACCTCTCTAGCTTCAACAGCACAAAGTCTGCTTCAACTGTCGAGGCACACCGGAAATAGCCGGTCACAAGAGAGTGGTAAACATGCAAAAGAAGTAGAGGGAAAATGATGATAGTAAAGATGAGGAAAGAAAAAGCAGCAGTTCCGCATATGTTGTTCCGGCACAGTATGAGTATGACATTGATAAATCATGCCATTTATAATTCTACAGTGCATAAGAACATGTTTATATCCCCCCCCCCCCCTCCTTTTGGGAATGGCCTAAAGACACTTCAGTCAGTAGCACTGCTTTGGGAGGTTCTTGTCTCTTTATGTATTAAAACTTCACTGCGATGGTGCTCGCTATAGACGCGCAAAGGAAGGGCGAGACACCAGTTTCGCTATAGTTTAGTGCCCGGACAACGTTTCCCTCCTTGCCCTTCATTAAGTTCCAAAATAAACTCAAAAGATGCTCCACGGGGTGCAACATAATTAATTAGTGAGCTACTTTTTAATCATCAGAAATAGATTTAGAAAAGAATAAATACTTACGCATGAATTTGATCATTATTTCTAATTTGACTGGACTGCTGAGAAAGAATCGGAATTGCGTCAGAGTGCATAGTCTTTGATATTGTAATACAATCTTCCTGGATACCGCAAGAGTTAAACCCATGCAATGGGGGCTCTCATGATCTAGAAGTTATGGTGTTCGCCTCCCATTCAATGGGTCTCGGGTTCGAATCCGGATAGCGACAGAAAATCTTCTTCTCTAAAAGGTTCTTCCTTCAAAATCCTTTCCTGCTCTCTAACTTGTTCTGTCGTCTGCTTTCGTCTCCAATTACTGCTCCCGCCCCCTCACCCCCTTTGCCCTCTACTCTGGGCTCCTGACTCTTTCTGTAGCCCTTCTACTGCTTCTCCTTGGCTCTAACTTACTGCCGTCTTTCATCCACACCCTTGATCTTATGGTAGGAAAGATCTACATCTAGCCTTCACGGACAAGGGCGAAAAATCTCGGAGGTCCTGGGTGCAAGTTGCGCACGTTGAAGATCCCATGGTGGTCCAAAATCAATAAGAGTAGGCTTCGACCGCAAGCTGGGCAAAATTAAAAATTTCCTACCAACTGAAAATGTTTACTGTGTCCCGCGCGCTCATTTGAGCTAATGCAGTTGCGAGCACCGTTAAACAAAATCACTTACTCACACCCCCCCCCCCCAAAAATAAATAATAAATCAATATGAAACAATACGTCAGCCCACTGAGGCATTGACATTTTCACGAAATTTTAGCGTAAACAAAGTTTGCAAATTCTTTTAATCAACACAACAAAGTTAAACATCATTAAATGCTCAATGAAGGTATTTTGGTTTTGTTTTTTTATTTCCTCATCACACGAAGACTGCTCGAGCTAACATAAAAAAAATAAACAATCTCCATAGATGCACCTATAAGCTGCAACAAAATAGATTAATGAGCTATTTTTTAACCATTAAATATAGTTTTAGAAAAGAATAAATACTTACGCATGAATTTGATAATTATTGCTAATTTGACAGGACTGCTGAAAAAGAACGAGATATTTCGTTTCCAGAAATATAAACACGAATAATAGTCAGGAGCGAAAACTGCAGAAAGAGTAGGATTCTTTTTTTTTCCAAATGCGAAAATAAACGCTCTTGAAATAGCAGCAACAATTTCTGCCTGATCTTTTCTGGTTTGGTCACCCTTACATTATGTTATTGGGACAACTACATTTCTAAATTGTATACCACGACTGTCTTGATTGTCAACAGCAGTGATAAGGTATTGAGTATTTGGTCTTTGTTCTGCGTTTTTATTTTTCGTTCAATATTGATTGTAAACCTCTTTGACATGTGATTTCAGCAAAACGTAAGATCTAAGTGTTCCCTTTCCATTTTGTTCATTTTACACTGGCGTGTAGTGCTAAGCAATGCAAAGAAATGTATTTTCTCCCCCTTCCTCTGTGGCTAGAGTCACTTTCTAATGTAGACTTGCATTGTGATATCCAAGACCGAGCACTTTTGATGTAGTTAATTCCAGTTCACCATGGGGTGCACTATATTTCACTCTGTTTAGAAACAAAAATAAAGAGCAAGGAGGGAAAGGTTGCGGCACACTTGACTGTTAGCGAGGCTAGTGTTTTGCCTTTTATTTGTGTGTCCATTGTGGGCAACAGCGCAATTCGTTTTGTAGATTTTTTAAAAAAAGAGACAGCAAAAGAAATCAGAAAGCGCCCATGACAGAGCCCGGTCAAGTCTATGCTGCAGAGACAGAATGGGCTGAGTGCATCCGTTCTCCGTATTAGTAGGTTCCTCCTCTATTAAAATCATCTCTTTGAATTTTTCATAGACTGAATTTCAGTTTTGTTTCAATGATTGATCCACCCCGCTCCTCTCTCTCTCTCTCTCTCTCTCTCTCTCTCTCTCTCTCTCTCTCTCTCTCTCTCTCCCTCTCTCTCCCTTTCTCTTTCTGTTCACACGCGCGCGAGCGCGCGCATACACACACACGCACACACACACACGCACTCACACACACACACATACACTCACACACACATACACACACATACACACACATACATAGTTACACACAAACTCACTCACATTCATTTACACAAACACACACACACACACTCGCATTCACACATATACAAACCCCTACACACACACACACACACACACACACACACACACACACACACACACACACA